TAAAACATCGATTTGACTGTATTATACAGTGAAATTACATATATTGCAATGATGAATAAAATGTATTGTTTTGTTGATTCCCATTGTGTCACGTTTTGAGTTTATTTTTGTTCTGTTCTGTTCATGTCTGTGTTTCAAGGTTGTTTTAGCTTGTTCAGTCTTCCTCTGCATGTGTTCATGGTTACGGATTGGTTTATTCCTGTTCAGGTGTGTTTAGTGTTTAATTGGCCCTGCGTTTCTTTCAGTTTCTATTATTATGTTGTTCTGTTCCAAGTTCCAGAGATTCTTTAGTCCTTTGTAAAGTTTTGAGATGGTTTAATAAAAGGGGTGATGATGGCGCAGTATTTTACCGTTTTTTTTTTTTTACAGGATTATATTTGCTATTTGTTCATTCACAATTTTAAAGATGGCCTGTATTGTTTAACGTTTAATTTGTTAATTTGTGTCTGAATAATCACAGTCCTACTGACACACATCGACTGGCTTAAGAACCATTTCAGCAGAGAATCAAGATATATGAAAACCAATTCCACACTTAATGGACTGAGGGGCAGTCCATAATTAAAGGAGAGCATTCAATGCCGAATAAATCCAATTCAGATCTCATTCATGCTATTAAACGGCACTCTAGCATTCACGGAACGCTGCTCCAAATATGGATTGACTCTTAGTGAGCGTATAAGCTTATTTCAACCTGATTCCATTGTTACTTGAGGAGGCTTTGCATCTTTCAGCCTCTTAGTGAGTCTTTGTTGATTATAATACTGTGTAAAGCCTCTTTCCCGATGAGAGGACACAAATCCCCATTAAATACAAGCAAATTAATTACATCTCAATAAAGCTTCCTTCGTTTTTATATATCAGGCCTGAGAGCTCACTCAAGGGAAACACATACATGGTATTTGTGCAGGTGAATTAAAATCCTCTTTTGGTTACGTTTGCACAAGGTGTGTAATAGACAGCTAAACAGAAATTATTGCACTGAATTTTCCCTCTAGGATGTAAGCCTGAAATGAAAGACATTTGTTCTTTGCTCAGAATGTCACTCTCTTTTATTTCACAATTTCCATGTCCTTGCTGTGAGTGATAAGACAGTGAGGCCCTTGTGAAGACACCGAGCCTGAGCAGGCTTCTCCTAGCAACTGCAGCGACAGTGTCCATTCAGGGTTCTGCTCAGGAAAGAGCCGGAAAAGGCATTATTTGTAACTTCGGGCTGTAGAAAAGCTGGGTCAACTCAAAATTAGAAGGAGTAAATGCTACAAAACCTTTCCTTCTCAGACCAAGTGGTTTTATTGAGTATAAATACTGGGGTTGAATATGAATAGGGGAGAGAGCGGGGCACAACCTAACGCTTTTTGGTTTTGGCTCAATTCATTAAAAAATAATTAGGTTAGATTAATACTTTTTTTTACACAAGCAACATACACATCTCTGCTACAAATGAACACTTAAAGTTTTTTTTCTAGGACCTACCATTTTCGTACAGTTGCACTGAAAGTGACAGAAGTGCAAATGTTACAGCTTACCCCATATGCGGGGTTAATTGTAACAGACAGAGGGGTTAGTTGTGTAACACACATAGTTCAGGACTATTTTATTTGTATAGTTTGATATTGTTTGTGCATCTGTATAGACAGATATCCCCTCATCCAATCATCGTTCTATTATGGATCAATATCATGGATAGAGACATGGAAAAGGGCTGCATAGTTTTCCAATAAATAACAATAAATAAAATTATAAATATTGTAATTTCAATTAAATTAGATTTGTGTGTGGCAGCTGCATGTACAATTATTATTATTATTATTATTAATAACAGTAATAATAATACAAATGAGCTTAAAATAAAAATTGAAAGGCTTTATTGCATTAATAACAGGCCATATTTTTAATAAATAAACAAGTTATCATTCATAGTACACTAAATTTTAAACATTTTAAATTCCAACATTGTTTGTGAAAGTCTAACAAAGTTAAATGTATACTCAAAAGTTGTGTGGCTCCGTTTTCATTTGATTATCATTGTACACTTGGAGGCTTAGTTGTAACACTGTGTTACAACTAAACCTCGCTGTGCATTATTTTAAACTTAGCTAACAGTCGCTAGGAATTGCTGACATGTTTTAAAACGGTGCAATGTTTGAGCCAACAAGACAGTGATTAAGGCAATATAAAGTTAGATTTGGAAACGTATACACCCAACTCAGAAACCGAAAAAAACTTATGATGAAAAAAATGTACTTTCATGGTGTCAAAACACTCTTTGTCCAGTATCTTTTCACGAAATATAATCAAAACTTTCCGCAAATTCGCGGGAGATCGTCTTCTGGCAGCGAGAGAAAAAGAGCGGAAAGACGGCCGGCTTGATCCTGACGAACTATGTAAACGGTCCGTGTTACATTTAACCCCGCATTAGGTTGTGCCCCGACTTGGTTTGGTTCTGTTTCTGTTTACCTGTTTCTTGTCATTTTAAGTTGACCTGTGTCTGAAATCCGCCCTTAAATAGGAACATTTGGTAATGCATCACAACCTGTCAGTGTCTTTGTCATGACACCTTGACATTAAATGAAGTTAAACTGTCATGTGGTTGGCTTTGACATTGGCTGTCATGAGGCATTATAACTGTCATGAATATTTTTCGTGACATCAACTAGAGTGGTACTAATTGAATTTGTCATTAAAAAGTTATACGTAATGGCTTCATGTCAAAACCAACCACCTGACAGTTTAATGTAATGTTACCCTACACTAGAACTAAACCTACCATAACCGAACAAAGCTCTGTGTGTGTTATATTGACGCTAAAAGGTGCCATGTGTGTTGAATTTAGACGAAATTTCAAAAGTGTCACTATATGACGCCCTAGGATGAGAACGCATTGGAATAAGGTGGGCTAAACAAAAAAAACTTAAAATGTTGGCATTCTCATGGCGTTCCAAAATCTGTAACATTAAATGAAAATAGATTTAGCATCGATACTTTCAAATGGCATCATTGAATTCTGGCGCATGCCAAATTTTAAAGAGATGTGAGAAGAGGAAAGGTTTCAGGCTACGTTTACACAAAGCCGGGTATTTAGTGCAACGAATATTTTCCCCCTCTCCGTTTTCATCGTTCACACACCCGCATAAATACGCCGTCGACCGCCATCAGTGTCGGGATAAGGATAAAGCCATGCAAGCCAATCAGAATCCTCAGAATCGACAAGAGAGAACCTAAAACGCTGTTTCTCCCAGTTCACATGACAACACATAACCGGCATTTTCAGAAATCTCCACTTTGGCCTGAGTTTTATCTGTGATAAAAAGGGGGTTTTCGTGCCAAACCGCAGGGAAATATAAGTAAACGGGGCCTCAGTCTAAAGTCCCTTTCATGACTACTTTTAGAGGATTATGGCGTTTTTGGTGCAGCATTAACATTCTACTAAACATCTAATTTTTGTGTTCTACAGAAGGAAGAAAAAACATAAAAGTTTGGAACGACATGAGGATAAGTAAATTTTTTTTTTTTTTTTGGATTAACTATTAACTATACAAAAATGATTAAACCCAGAAACCTGTGAAAACTTGTTCTGAACTTCTGCATCATTGAGCTCGGACTACAAAATCGGAGCGAGAAATAATAATGGCGGATTGCTCGAAGTGTTGGGCCGGTAGTCGATGTCCTTATTTGGCAGTTCCGCTGCAAATACGGTGACGTTATAGTTCAAAAAATCAGAAAAATCTGAACAGGTTGAAAAATATGACCAAAACAGAATATAAAGTAGGGATGCACCGAAATGAAAATTCTTGGCCGAAACCGAAAACCGAAAAAGAGGAAACCAAGGCCGAACACCGAAAACCGAAACACCGAAAGAAATTATGCCAATTATTAGTATCATTGCATTTATGGCTATGACTGTGTACAAACTTTACTAAAATCAAGGCATTGCAATTGCATAAATTAATATAACATTTTCAAAAAATAAATCAATTACAAATTATGCAAATATTTATTTAGCACAATGCACAGTATAAAATAAAATTCAAACTAAAATGTTTAATTTGACCCCGCTCATGTGTACACTAAATAATAATCTACTGGCCTGCAGAAAGGTTTTAAAATGAAATGTTCTCTCAAAAACAAAGCCGAGCGCAAACTTCTTCTCATCACACTAGCACCCAGTTTGCATGTCTAAATTAGTTACATTTTAAAAATTTTGCATAAAATAGCATAAAAAGCCTTTTTAAATGAACAATGGTCCATGTTTAATACAAATGTACATGAAACTTAATGAACCATGTTTAGTGAATGTAGAAAATATTTAAGAGAGCATTAATTTAGTTCTATACATGTTCCCATATACATATTTTTTTGTAATGTCACAAGTAATAATCTCAGGGTTTACTGGGTTTTACATGATTATTTTTGTATTGGTGGAGGAATACTAAAAAATAAACATTGTCATGTATTTATCGGTCTTCTTCTCACCGATTCCTGATGGTTAGAGGAGAGTTACTTGAGTCGCCGTTTCAAGGAATAGTACAACGGAGAGCACGTCAAGTATAAACGCCTCGACCGTTTGGAGCGGTGCGCGCGCTGTTTGTGGAGACTCGCGCTGCCTTGTTTACTTTCGCCTGCCTCCGCAGTGCGAGTCTTATTTATAATTTTTAATTGTGTCATCCACCTGCACGCATTGTTTAGAGCAGATATAGGTGGATAAACAAGGTTTCCGTCTCATCGCGGGTTCAGATACACTGAAATACGTCCACACCACAGACATGTTGCTTCAGACAAGCACGTGCAGGTCGCGGTTTCTGTTTGCGTCATCACAACATTTCGGCCGTATTGTTTCGGTGATAAAAGTCTTTCGGCCGAAAACCGAAAATGCATTTTTGGGCAATTTTCGGCCGAAAATTTTCGGCGGCCAAATATTCGGTGCATCCCTAATATAAAGATATAAACGAAGCACCTGAAGAGAATAATTTCATCTCTTCTGTACTTATAAACACTCCAAATATACAACAAAATGCATTTAAGGGCTAAAAAAAGTGGATTTTGCATGACATGTCCCCTTTAAGACCCGCATAGAAATGTTACTCCTTGCTAGAATTGCACGGCAAGAGAAAAGGACTGGAACAGCCGGCTTCATGTTACAAGAGCAGAAGCGCTTCCACCTTTCCTGGACTCCCATAATATATCCTAAATCAATTGGAGAAAGGAGCAAGAGAGCCAGTAATGCTGTGATTGATGAGAGCGATGTGAATATTTGTAAGCTGATAAGCCTCTTTTTTCTCTCTCTTCTCTGTCTCTCTGTCTCTCTCGCCCGACGCACGCATCAGAAGGGATACAACATTGAGCAGCAGAGTGTGAAAAACGGAAAACACCTGAATGGAGTGGGTAAGTCTACACTCACGCGTCCTCGAGAACAATGAAAGCCCTGCAGAGGAACAATGCAATGTTGCCACGGCTCCTTCTGTTCCACACAAACGTCTTTGACCTTGTTTCTTGACACGTCACGGCTGAGTCAAAAAAGACTTCCCATGATCCATGCCTCCTGACCTAAAATAATAATAAAGGCTTTTAAATGTGTCATGTGGCCTGGAAAAGTTTGATCTAGGAGCGAAGACAAGAAAGCACTTTACTTGAAGGGCTAAGACTAACATGACACCTTCATAATCATGAAATGACTTTTTTTTTTTTTTTTGAGGTTTTGCTACGCTATCTCACGACCAATTCGTACGAGTGATTCAAAAGTGGCTAATTCGTACTAATTCATACGACCTCACTCGTACGAATTTGTACGATTTGTCTAAACCCACGTGACGGTTATGTTTAGGGGCGGGGTCAGGGGTAGGTCATTCGTACGAATTCATACGAATTGGCAAATTCGTAAAATATGTGCGATTTAGCAAATTCGTACGAGTGAGGTCGTACGAATTGTTACGAATTAGCCACCTCGTAAAATTCGTACGAATTCCCGTGAGATCGGGTTGGGTTTTATGCATGTTTCTGACAACCGTCATTAAGTGTCATTCGCTCAGTTATGACATTTTGAATGCAAATATGACGTTGTTTGAGATGTCTTTGTCATGACAACTTGACATTATTAAGACAACACAACCTGTCATAAACATGACATAGCAGATTAATGATCAAACCACCTAGATTTATAAGTTAACATTACATTAAACTGTCAGGTCATGAAGCCATTATAACTTTTTAATGACAAACTCAATTAGTACCACTGTAGTTGAGGTCACGAAAAATATTCATGACACAGTTATAATGCCTCATGACAGCCAATGTCAAAGCCAACCACATGACAGATTAAGTTGTCATGACAAAGACACTGACAGGTTATGATGTATTGGTTTATGTCAAGGTGTCATAACAAAGACATCTTAAACAATGTCATATTTGCATTCAAAATGTCATTATTATTGAGCGAAAGACACTTAATGACAGTTGTCACAAACATGCATAAACCCTATGACATATGTCATGTCATGATTATGAAGATATCACGTCAGTCTTATGCACACCCCTTCAAGTAAAGTGTGTTACCGACAGAACCTGTTTTTAATAGGTTAAGTTTAGTTGTTTGGTAAGAAACGTCAAACTTGTGCAATTAATATAGAATTGCGATCAAGTCGAATTTATTTACTACATTGGGCTTTTCACAATACACATTGTTTCAAAGCAGCTTTACAGAAAATCATGATGTTAATGTTTAGAATATCTTCATGCCTTATATTGTAGTCGCATTTAACGATAATATAGTTTACGTTTGCGATAATACAAAGAATCAAGAAGTTGAGCTGTATTGGCTTGTATATATCAGTATGTTGTAAGTATGCAGTGCTTATATATAAAGAGCTGGGTGATAATATATTTATATTTTACGCGGAAATAAAAATCGGGCAGTTTCCTGTATCGCTTGACGTTAGGGCACTGTATGTATCCAACTTTATATAGAGAGCTTTACGATAATACAGTTTACATCTCTGCGACGATATGAAAAATCGTGCAGCCGACTACTATTACTATTACTATGTACTATTAGCTAAATAGTACATTGCTATATGTATACAGATAAAGTAGAATGTACTATACAACTTTTCAAACTTCAAAATATTACAAACTTTTAATAATGTAGTTTACATTTTTCGACGATATGACAATCAAGCAGTTGAGACTTGTTAAATAGTATAGGCTACATACCGTTTAACTCGAGTTTACTGTATGTATGCAGATAAGATTGGATATACTTAGTAGATAGATAGTAGTTATTCTTTAGTAATTATTAAGTTGTTAATTAATCTGATCACAGGTATGATTATATCTGATGATTTGCAACGGCTTTGAATGACTTACCAACGAGTTAACAACACAACAAAAACAAGCCACAACAAAACAAACTAAGTACTAAGCTCATCCAATCAGAATTTAGAGTCACAACTACAGTGTCTGTTTTTGTAATATTAGTTTTGAGTCTTTTATTTTTAATAAAAATAAGTCAGGGAGCGTGAAGCAGTCGCAATAGCAAAATCACAAAATATCATTTTCTTTTGGTGTGCACCAATAACACATGGCTATTTAATAGCCTATATTAAACTTCCTCATACCATGACATGCAATCGTTCAACCATCACATATTCAAAAAATTAGTTTTAATATTATATAACTAACAAATCTCCCACAGAAGCCCTATTTCCAGTGTGAAAAAAACCACCCCATGGATTATCAAGTTAAGATGAGCCTGATTTATGTAATCTTGAACATTGCGTGATCGTAAGATGATTCACTCTGTATGTGTGTGTGTTTTTTTACTGCCCAGTGAATGAGTTTGTGAAGCAGCTTTTTGGTAGTCTAATGGTTAATGTGAGATTTAACAGAAGCGCGAGAGAGATTAAGCCCTCCACTAATCCCATTGGACTCCTCAGAGAGAGAGAGAGAGAGAGAGAGAGTGCATGTGTGTGTGAAAACTAAAGTTGGGAGGAGCAGGAGGGGCGTGTCTTTGATGCCCAGTGGTCACATGACTGTTTACACTGTGAGAGAGGACGCATGTATGTGAAGAACTGCAGAAACTCAAAAGAAACGGCCCTCACGTAAACATGTAGGATATCACACACACACACACACACAAAGGCAACAGCAGGATGGACCAGAGAGTTGAACACAGTTTGGGCCAGCCCAGCAGACCCAGAGATGTACTTGTTAAGTCAGGTAAGACTGTGGCTGAGATTACAGGATGCTGAACTGATGATGCTGTATTCTGCAACTTTATGGGTCTATAAGATTTGCAGTATTATTACTATGTTACAACGTAGTAATACCAGATTACTTTTATATCACTGATGCATTTGTTATAATTTGAAAAAATAAAGATCTCTGCCTGCTTTAAACTAAAAATTTCTGTTTTGGGGGTCAAATGTATAATGTTTTTAAAGAACAAGCTGGTGTAGTATATAAAAGACAAACTAAGAATGACACTTAAAGAAATCAACAACTTCAAAAACTCTATTAGAAATGCATCATTTGACATTTTCTGAATTGTACTTTTGTCAGCTGGTATCAGTAACATAGTTTAAGTGACAAGAAGGATCATCTTTCACAATTTTGTTGTTGTAATGTTTTACCAGCAGTATCTATCTTCCTTTATGTTTGTTTTAGCTGAAAAGCGCAAGGTCCACCGTGCATTTCTGCCTGACCGTATTCGACACCAATAAACCCAGCTTTGTGTATTTGAACAGTTATCTTAAATCATCCAGAATATCCAGCTTTTAAACAAACACGCCTTTCACCAACATATCTGGGAAGTCTATTAAGCAATTTCTATGTGAATTAAACCTCATCTTTTACACACCATAATGCCGTTCCAAATCCGTATGCTTTCTTTTCCAAATCCTTTAACACAAAAGAATATATTTTGAATAGTGTTTAACTACACTAAAAAAAAATGCTGGGTTGTTTTAACTAGAGCCAGACCGATATTATCGGCCGATATTAGGCATTTTCTAAAATATCGGTATCGGCAGTTATAATGGCCGATAAATGAATATTTCAAAAATAAAATAAAAACTGACGAATCACGCTTCAACCATGTCATGAGTGTTGTCAAAAAGTGCAGGTAAAGGGGTAAGCAAGCTGACATTGCAATTATAAGGTAGCTTATAACTATAAGGCAATGTAGGGACTAATTATTAATTTATTTATCAGAACTTGTTCCTCTGTTCTGTTGTGACAATAGAAACAAGTTTCTTTTTAAAATGAATATATAACTCATAAATAACTACAAATAACTAATGTTAGGGAAATCTGTTAATATTTTGTTGCGCGTTTCTGAAATAAATAAAAATAATAATATCGGCCGATATATCGGAATATCGGATTTTAAAACCAACAAATATTTGTATCGGTATCGGCCTTCAAAATCCTTTATCGGTCTGGCTCTAGTTTTAACCCAATTTTGGGTCAAATATGGACAAACTCAAACATTGGGTTAAAAATGTAATTAAAAAATGTAACCCAATGGCTGGTTTTGTCTGTATTTGAGCCAAAATTGGGTTAAAATAACCCAGCATTTTTAGAGTGTCAGTGAGGTCCAAAACATCATTGCACCCTGATTTTTATCCAAATATATGTTTCTGTGTTTTCTACGGAATAAAGAAATGCATGCTGAAAAAGAGAATGATCCTTAGTCATAGAAACTCATTTTATTTACTCTTCCAGTCTAGATTTAGATGCTTGAAATAGGTTATATTGTGCCATTGTGCTGCGGTGTTTCTTGCTGGGCACCTTTATAATGCTAATTCCCTGTCTGAGAGCTGTGCCTAAATTTTATGGCTTGCCAAGGACTAGTATTCAGCAGGGATTATGGGAAATGGCACAAACACACCCACCCATGGGAGAATGGGATCCCAGGGCATCCTCTGAGAATGCTGACGTCGCCATGACAACTGTCAGCTTTCTATTTGTATACAACCCAATGTGGGAACCAACTAACGTCTTATGTAACAGGAGATGGGATAAACAAAAATGGTATTTTGGGTGATCAACAAAGACATTACACTGAATTTGATGTGATGCAGAGGAATCTAAACTGTGCCACCAGTATTGCCTTAAAGGGATAGTTCACGCAAAAATGAAAATTGTCCTATAACGTACACTCACCCTCAAGCCATCCTACTGTAGGTGTCTACGATTTTCTTCTTTTAGTCAAACAAAATCTAAGTTAAATTGTAAAATATGCTCTTCCCAACTCTATAATGGGAGTGAATAGTAACTGACGTATCCAAAAAAAGTATTTTTTCCCAGAGAGCAACATAGTGTCGGCTCAGATCCGGCCCACATCTGGTACACATGGATCCCACACGGCCCAGATGTGGGCCGGATCT